GAAAGACGTTTACCTGTGTTTTATTGACTATGCAAAGGCATTCGACTGTGTGGATCATAACAAATTATGGATAACGTTGCAAAGAATGGGAATTCCAGAACACTTAATTGTGCTCATATGGAATCTGTACATACACCAAGAGACAGTCATTTGAACACAAGGGAATACTGCATGGTTTAAAATCAGGAAAAGTGTGCATCAGGGTTGTATCCTTTCACCATACTTATTCAATCTATATGCTGAGCAAATAATCCAAGAAGCTGGACTATATGAAGAAGAACACGGCATCAGGATTGGAGGAAGACTCATTAACAACCTGCAATATGCAGATGACACAACCGTGATTGCTGAAAGTAAAGAGGGCTTGAAGCACTTAACTGATGAAGATCAAAGACTACAGCCTTCAGCATAAATGTTGAGTATACACGTGGACCTCGCTGGATGGAATACACAGGAATCAAATAAAGAAAAAAATCCATAAAGGAAAGAAAATCCTCACAACTGGACCAATAAGCAACATCATGACAAAGGGCAAGGAGAAAATATTAAAGTTGTCAAGGATTTTATTTTACGTGGATTCACAATTGTTGTCCATGGAAGTAGCAGTCAAGAAATCAAACAAGGTATTGCATTGGGCAAATCTGCTGCAAAAGACCTCTTTAAAGTGTTAAACAGCAAAGATGTCACCTTGAAGACTAATGTACACCTGGCCCAAGCCATGGTATTTTCAATCACCTCATATGCATACAAAAGCTGGACAATGAATAAGAAGCCCAAAGAAGAATTGATGCCTTTGATTTATGATGTTGGCCAAGAATATTGAATATACCATGGACTGCCAGAAAAGCAAACCAATCTGTCTTGGAAGAACAGCCAGAATGCTCATTAGAAGCAAGGATAGTGATACTTCATCTTGCTTACTTTGGACATATTATTAGGAGGGGCCAGTCCCTGAAGAAGGATATTATGCTTTGTAAGGTAGAGGGTCATGGAAAAAAGAGGAAGACCCTCAATGAGACGGACTGACGCAGTGACTGGAACAATGGGCTCATACAATAGCTATGATTGTGAGAAGGGAGCAGGACCTGGCAGAGTTTTGTTCTGTTGTAGGTAGGGTTGCTATGAGTCAAAACCAACTCCAGCGCACCTAACAACTCTATGATCCAACAATTCCACTTCTAGGTATCCTCCGAAAGAAGTGAAAATCTATGTCTACGACAGATCTGCACAAAGGTGTTCATAGTCACTGCCTTATGCATAATAGATAGTAACTGGAAATGACCCAAATGGCCAACAAGTGGTGAATGGATAAGCAAATTGTGATATGCCCATGCGATGGACTACTCACAACTAAAAGGAAAGAACAACATGGCTCAATCAAACGCATTATGCTAAGTGAAAGAAGCCAGACACAAAAACCAAAACCAAACCCGTTGCCGTCGAGTCCATTCCGACTCATAGTGACCCTATAGGACAGACTAGAACTCTGCCATAGGGTTTCTATTGAGCACCTGGTGGATTCGAAGTGCCGACCTTTTGGTTAGCAGCCAAAGCTCGTACCCACTACGCCACCAGGGTTTCCAGACACAAAAGGAGTCCATATTTAATAATTACATATATATGAATTCTAAGGAGCCCTGGTCGCTCGGCTGCTGACCATAAGGTCGCCAGTTCAAACCCACCAGCAGCTTTTCAGAAGAAAGATGTGGCAGTCTGCTTCCGTAAAAATGTACAGCTTTGGAAACCCTGTTCAATAGAGTCACTATGAGTCGGAATCCACTCCATGGCAGTGGTTTGGTTTTTTGTTTGTTTATATGCAATTCTAGAAAGGGAAAATGTAATCTGTAGTGCCAGAAGGCAGACTGATCTGGAAAGTGCAAGGTTTGTTAAAGCTCATCAAACTGTACACCTAAGATCTGGGCATTTCTCAGTCTGTAAATTATAAGGAAAGCAGGAAGGGAGGAAGGGAGACAGCGAGGTACATATGGAGGGACGGCGGGAAGGAGAGAAAGAGGAAAGGAAGGAATGCCGGAAGGCAGGAAAGGAAGGAAGGAGTGTCGTTACAAACTGTTGCCGGGTGGAGGGCGGGTTAAGAAGCTCGGCCGCCGGGCATGCGATTACTCCTGTCGGACACCAGGCGGCAACGCGGTTCTGAGAAGGACCGACCGCGCGGCCCAAGCGCCCGGGGAAGCGGCGGCGAGGGGGCGGGCCTGTGCTCTATAGCCCATGTGGGCGCCGGCGCCGTGGGCCGCAGCGTGGGGTCGCCATGGCGGAGCTGCAGCAGCTCCGAGTGCAGGAGGCGATCGACTCCATGGTGAAGAGTCTGGAGAGAGAGAACATCCGGAAGATGCAGGTAGCGGGGCGGGGGCCGAGCCAGGGGTCCCCTTCACCCGCAGGTGCGGATTCCCGGATCCTTCCTGCAGCCGCCTCTCCAGGCCAGTCCCGCTGCTGCCGCCCCCTTCCCCGTAGACCCGGGTCAGGGCGACCCTAGGCTCGTCGCGGCGCCCTCGGAAACACCCCTCGCTCTAAGAACTTCTGGAGCTTTGGCTGATCAGATGAAATCCGTGCGCCCTCGCCATGTGCACGGCCATTTTCCACCTAATCCATCCTGGGCCAGAGGGTATCCATGGGCCGGAGTTGGGAAGCCCTTAGTGAGAGGTGTTCGTCGCCCCTATCCTCCATCATGCGCTGCCCCTTCTGCCCGTGAGCAGCCCGAGGCCCAGAAAGGACATGGCCAAGGTGAGAGACCGGAAAAGCGAAAGCGCCGGACCTCCCTGATGGCCAAGTCATGCCGGGTTCTGTTGCACCAAACTCCCCACTTCACAGCGCTGGTCTGTATGACGTTCTGCTTTTACTCTCTAAATGTTTCGTGTGTCAGAGGTTGCTGACCCCTGACCTGTGGTACAGGCACCTGGTTTTCAGAATATGGCTTCATCTGACCTACCCCCCAACCATGGATGCAACAAGTTCCAATGAACCAGCCACAAGAAGCCTATGAAACACTCAACTAGGCACCGAGGAAAATTCTCCCATTCATGGTGTTAAGGTCCTGATGCCTGTTACTAAGGGGAGGTGAAAGCAGACGATGGAGAGGGAGGTGCCAGTGTAGACGTGTCCCCTAAGCCCTGGTTATCTGTGTTCCCTGAGGCATTCCTGCCTGACCCCCGCTCTGCCCTCCCTCCCCAGGGCATCATGTTCCGGTGCAGCGCCAGCTGTTGTGAGGACAGCCAGGCGTCCATGCAGCAGGTGCACCAGTGCATTGAGCGCTGCCACGCACCCCTGGCTCAAGCCCAGGCCCTGGTGACCAGCGAGTTGGAGAAGTTCCAGGTGAGGAATGCCCCAGATGGAGGACGCTGGTTAGGAGACCCTTGACGTTGCTCTTCTGCAGGAGCTGACATGCATTTGTTCAAAATTCTTGGCTTTGATGTCTTGGTCCTTTTAACGTTTGTGATGGACATATGGCCAGCCAGAGTTCTCATGGCGTTTGAAATTTTAGGGAGAAGTCTGGAAGTTAACTGCTGTAAGTTGAACCATATTTCCCTTAGAAGTAATGTTGTAAAAGGGCATCATGTTCACAATTTAGAGCCTTATGCCTTCTTTCTTTTTCTTTTTTGCCATAAACACCAACAGTTCAAGGCTACACAGAGGTGCCTTGGAAGAAAGGACTGGTGATCTACTTCCAAAAAATCAGCCATTGAAAACCCTATGGAGCATACTTCTGCTCTGACACACATGGGATCACCATGAGTCAGAATCAACTTGACAGCAACAAGTACCAGTGAGTCAGCTGCAAGAAGGTGGTAGTGGTGAAAACATATATTAATTCATAAACATATTTTCAAACAGTAGCAGAATCTCCAGGAGACTGGATTAGGACAATCTGCACAGGTCATTTATTGAAGCATTACTGTTGTTGACTCACAGATGCCTGGCTCACCAGCCCCTCTGAGGTTACTAAAATAGCTCTGTTTTTCCTTCTCTGGAGTGAAGGATATCCACAATTTCATTTTACTTCCTTCCTCTAGGTATACTTTTCTAGAACTTGGGGGAAACAGGACCTGTTTTTGAACCAGTCTTTCATATCCAGAGGTTGTACACATGGAAAAATTATATCTAATGTGACACATTTTTACATTCTGCTGTATAAAATTCTTTAAAATACTGCCATTGTGAAGGAGTAACTTCTCCAAGATCATAGAATTCCCAAGGGTTTCTTTGTGTTTGTTTTAACAGCTAATTTTATAGATTGGCCCTTGGAAAAATTGATTCTTGGATTGCGGCATAACTTTCTCCTTCCGTTCTCTTTTCAGTTGTCTTCAGACTTTCACTCTTCCCCCGTGCCAGAACTGCTTTTCCACTCTCCGCCATGGCGCTAAATCCAGTGGTCATGTCTCAGTCCCCATCTTACTCGGCCTGTCTGCATCACTGATACAGTTGGTCACTCCCCTCCTCCTTGAAACACATATTAACTTGGCCTCCAGGGCACCTCACTCTCCTGGTTTTCCTCCTGCCTCCCTGGCCACCCTTTCTTGGCCTCCTTAGCTGATTCATACTCTCTCCAACCTCTGAGCATTGCAGTGCCCAAGGTAGTCCTTGGAATTTTTCTATCTACTTCTCTATAGTCTCCTTTCGTCTTATAGCTGTAAGTGTCATCTATAAGCTGACAATTCCTACATTCACATTCTAGACCACACTTCATACCTGAACTCCAGATTCATATAACAAATTGTTTCCTCAACATCTCCACTTATTTATTTTGTCTGCCTGCCTTCCCTCGCTAGATGTAAGAACTGTTTTACTCATTGCTAGATTTCCCAGCATTAGAAGAGTACTGGCGTATAATAGATGCTCAATAATATTTGTTGAATTGAGTGTTTTCCAGTAGCATGGACAGACATTAAACAATCAAGATGTCTGTAAGCGTTTGTGTAGTTTTGGACCCCTAAAGCACAGTAACCTCTCACTTCCTGCAAGCACTGTGTACGGTTTATTCCATCATTCATCTGCCTTCTAGTTCTGTTTGGTCTGGGCCCTCCTGGCACCACTCTGCTTCCATCAGGATAGTCTTGAGTAAAAACCAAACCAGATGCCATCGAGCCCATTCCAACCCATGGCAACCCTATGTGTGTCAGAGTAGAACGGTGCTCCATAGGATTTTCAATGGCTGATTTTTTGGAAGGAGATCACCACGTCTTTCTTCCAAGGCGCCTCTGAGTGGATTTGAACCACCAACCTTTCAGTTAGTAGCTAAGTGCTTAGCCATTTACACCACCTAGGGATTCCTACCTATAAAAAGAAAGCAAAAACAAGTTGTCATCAGCCAACTCTGAATCACGGCAACCCCATGTGTGTCAGAATAGAAATGTGCTCCACAGGGTTTTCAGTGGCTGATTTTTTGGAAGTAGATCACTGGGTCTTTCTTCCAAGGCACCATTGGGTGGACTCGAACTTCCAGCCTTTCAGTTAGCAGCTGAGCATGTTAACCATTTGCACCACCCAGGAACTCCAGCTGCACTACCAAAACCAAAAACCAAACCCATTGTCGTCGAGTCAATTCCAACTCACAGCGACCCTATAGGACAGAGTAGAACTGCCCCATAGGATTTCCAAGGAGCTACTGGTGGATTCAAACTGCCAATCTTTTGGTTAGCAGCCGAACATTAAACCACTGCGCCACCAGGACTCCAACTGCACTACAGTGTCCCTTTAATTGATCAAGATAATGTATGTCATGCCTATTGCCCAGGGCCTGGCACATGATGAGCACTTGGTAAATGGAGGCAGCCTCTCAGCCTTCTCTACCCTCTTCCTTCTTACTACAGGACCGCCTGGCCCGGTGTACCATGCATTGCAATGACAAAGCCAAAGACTCCATGGATGCAGGGAGTAAGGAGCTTCAGGTGAAGCAGCAGCTGGAGAGCTGTGTGACCAAGTGTGTGGATGACCACATGCATCTCATCCCATCCATGACCAAGAAGATGAAGGAGTCTCTCTCATCCATTGCAAAATAAAAGTCTTTGCCAGTGGCCATTGGGAATGAGGGCAGGATGGGAATTTGGGTCTTTTAAGTGAGGTTTTAGGAATGAAGAAATTATGGATGGCAGCAAGTTTAAGGAATATGTCACCTGGCTCTGAACTCTGATTCTTTTATAAGTTTTAATCCTTAGGCAGTAAAATGGGACAAACTGGTGCTGAAGTTTGGGTCGGAGGTAGCACAAGAGAGTTATTTAGAGCCTAAATTGTATGTGGCAAATGCTTATCCTAGCAGTAAGTATGTCCGTTGCTGTATCAAGCCAGAGCCTTCCAGTGCACCAGATTCTGCTTATTACACAAGTACCAACAGACTGACATGTTCCTCCAACCTGCCTATGAGCTGGTGGAGCTTGAGGAGGGGTATTTCTGTTTGTTGCCAACCTCCTGTTTACAAGAAGTATCACCACCCCATTTTCTGTAAGCTATAAAACAAACCAGGAGATCAGTAATTCCGAATCGGAAAACAGATTTCTGGGTCTTTGTTTTGCTTAGTTTTGTTTTATATACAAGAGCCTGACATTGATTAAAATGTCAAGTTGGGAGACAGGGTAGTTTGGATGAAAACTTTGAAAGGCTCTTTGGCCATCACCTGGTTGTCAAGATGTGCTTTTCTTGAAATGCTCACATACTGCATCTTTCAGCCTGGAGACCGTGCAAAAACGAGAGGCAGTGTCACACTGGCTATGGGAAGCAGAGCTTCCTTCTCACTGGCTGCTAGGTGGCTTCTGAGGCTTTCTGCAGTAGAGTGACAGGACAATCTTGCAATGACACTGGCCTTTGAAGGAAAAGGGAATTTTGATTGTGATATATACCGATATCTGAGAATGCACGATGAAAGAGAAACTGTTGGCTGCTTAATTAAGAAAGTTGTACTGGATTTGGAAAGACCTAGTTTTTCGTATAACAGAATGAAATGAAGGCCTAAACCGAGCATTACTTACTTCTTGTTGTTCGTGTTGTTGTTCGTTGCCACTGAGTTGACTCCAGCTCATGGTAACTTTATGTATAACAAAACTAAATGTTACCTGGTCCTGTGCCACCTTCATGATCACTGGTGTGTCTAAGTCCATTATTACAGCTGTTGTGGCAGTCTGCCTCGTTTTTGTTGGCCCTCTACCAAACATAATGTCCTTTACTAGTGATTGGCCTGTCCTGATGACATGTCCAATGTCTTGCTTAGCCCCCTGAAATAACAGAGCCCTGTTAAGTCAATGCCCTGGTGACAGGAAGGTCAAGGGAAAAAAGTAACTCAGGGGCTAGGGAGAGCTGTGACTCCTTTAGAGCAAAGGAGGGGCGGCCCCCCATTACCAAATACCATTTTCTGCCCGAGGCCTCTGCAGTATGCAGTGTTCCTGCTCCAGTGACACCTTATCATTTTGATAAGGGCTTTGTCATCTTTCTACCAACTTATTACTTGAAGTGATAATGTAGCCTGTTTGCTGTTTCAAGGCTGTGATATATTTTCCTAGTGGTTTAATTAGAAAAAATAAATGAGGTTTAATTTTCCCCACACTATTGTGTTTCTTTCCTCATATCTAAGCAATGAATATATAACTTTCTCAGGGTGCTTCTCCTTGTAATGTGTAAAGTAAGAGTTTTCTTAAGATGCCCAGAAGAGTAGTATTGATTATGTTTTATGGCTGGGATGCAGTTCTGTTTAATTGTAAATGGGGAAAACTTGGAGTGAAGGCTAGGGCACTATGACTTGAAGCCCATTAATGGAAAAAAAAAAACCTCAGTATCTATGTGAGGTCTCTAGTTTCAACTAAACAGTAACAGCAATGTGGAAAAGCTGCAAGCTCTGGCCCCTCTGGAGAAAATTCAATGTCTGGGATTTGGAGTACCAAAAGAATACAAAATATCTGATGAGTTTAACTAAGTTCTTATTATAACTGGTATTGCGGGAGAGCCATTCGTGAACATTAAGAATTAATTTTGGAGAACCATCCCTACTTAGAATCAGCAAAGTATTTAAAGCAGAAATGATCCCTTTTCTATTTTGGCCTAAGTCTTTTGTAATCCCTATTATATTTTACCGATAAATGTGGGTTCTATTTTGGAGTAGTTTCACAACTGGGATAAAGTCAGGGACCACCTTTTACACTTGTGTGCTTGATGTGGAAAATCAGTCCCTCAAAAGAGATGTTTTATGTGCTGCACTTCATGTTTTATATGTAGCGGCAGTGGCACATTAAGTGGGAGTCTATGAATGACTACAAAATAGAGGCGGTGTTACAAGAATTGCAGGGCCTTCAATTGGGAATACAAATTCTTGGAGACTGAAGCCCTGTCACTCTAATGGTTAGAGGTCATTTCATGTTACTGGAAGCCTAGACTTGCCATGATACTGTACTGTGGGGATAAATGCCAAAGAAATATTAGGGACTCCCTCCTCCAGGGGTGGGTGGAGAGAATGAAGGTTCTGTGATGGAATTCTTGCCTTCTATGCAGGAGACCAAAGCTCAACTCCCAGCCAATGCACCCCAGGCACAGCCACCACTAGTCATTGGAGGCTTGCGTGTTCCTGTGATGCTGAGTGGCTTCGTGGGAGCTTCCAGACTAAGACCAGGAAGAAAGGCCTGGTGATCTACGTCCAAAAAATCAGCCAAAGAAAACCTTATGGATCACATCAGTCCCATCCCATTGTGCACAGGTTCGCCATGAATGAAGGGCCGGCTGAACGGCAGCTAACAACTCATCCAGGGCTATTTTCATTTGGTATACATGAAGAAGATTAACAGTGCCATCTATAGAGATGGGATTGGCTGATGTAGCTCAGAAGCTAGACACAGGACTGTTACTTCAATTTCCCAGGAGCAACAGAATTGAGAAACGCTCTCTGACCAATCCCTTACGACGCAACCGGAAGTTCGAAGGTCGGTGACGCTTTCAAGCTTCCGGTAAGTATCGCGAGGTGAAATGTGAACACTGCCATCAATCGATTGGCTAACAGGATAGATGACGTCAGACGCAAAAACGCCAGCCGACCGCGGCAGCGTGAGGGAGGCCGGGAATTCTGTTACATCGCGGTGCTGAACCCTCCGAATAGGCACAATGAGCAAGGCTCACCCGCCCGAGTTGAAAAAGTAAGTATGTGTCAAGGCCCAGCTGAAGTGGCAGCTTCTTTGCGTGCCACAAGTGCCTTCAACCCCCTTGCGTTTCCGTTAGCGCGCCCTGGCGTGCGTAGGCCGAGTGGGCATGGGCCCCTGCACCTCCCTCGCCCGGATCCCGGCCAGGGTCCCGCGCTTCGGAGCCCAAGCCCGCGCGGACGCTCCGTGTCGGCCTGGTTACCAAAAGCAGCGAAAGTACCTCCATTCTGCCGATTTGCCTCCCTTGTTCCCGAGCTTCCGGCGCCACATCTGCATGTCTTACTAGTTACTTGAGGACCTCAACACCACCCTTTGTGGAACATCGTGAATAGCATCATGGTCTAGATAGGTGACTTGAATGGAAGTTTTTATAGAATACGAGGAGTCAGAAGCCACTTTAATCTTAATGTGTGTGCGTTGTTTGCGCATATACTTACAAATTCAGTTCCTTTTTATTGCCGTCTTGTACTTAAACTAAGAATGTCTTGTGCCTATTTTGCTCGATCATCAGTTATGTGAGAACATTAAGTTTCCTAATCAGAGAAGGCTAGTTGTTTTTTTTTTATTCCTTCCCCTGCACCCAGTAAAATCAAACCGACCTCTGAAGTAGGATATCCCTATTTTATACAGGACCCGGTTTGAAGCCTTAACCTCCTCAAACACTTCTTGAGTGAACGTAACACGTTCTCTGTCTCCTGAGTACTTCTCTATGGTGTTCATACCATGTGATGCCGGAATTCTGGCTGTAGTAGTTGGATTGCACAAAGGATTAGTATCCAAGGATCAGTTTGTGGGTGAGCCATCTGGTCTGCCTTATGTGTAGTTCATTTGTTACCAGCCCCTGAAAGAAGTCAGACTTAAGGAGAGTTCATATTTAATAATTTTACATTTAAATGTACATTTGTATCGAAGCCAACTTTTGTATGAAATTTCTGTCCATTAATTTTAGTTGGCGGTGTTAAAGGTTTAATTATTAAATAGTATGCGCAACATTAAGAAAAATGGAAATTACTGTCCCAAAAATGCTTACCTAAAATTTATTCTTTTATTGATTGGCTGGTGAAATCTTGTATCCTCAGGATTCATCAAGACCTGGTGAAATGGTAATTCTTTTTTTTATAAAAGCATCATTCTACTTGTAATTTTAGATTTCATTTCTGATTCTTAGTAGATGTTATTTGAAGATTTCAGGGGATGAACTAGTTTTGATACCTTCGTCTTCTAATCACTTGATTTAATGAGTTGTGAAATCCTGTCAGATCTGCCTCTAAAGTGTCTTTAAATTTTTTTCCTCCTTTATTTTATCACAAATACCATCTTTCACACTTTATACCTTCCTCCTGGTTTAGCATAACTCAGTGGTTCTCAGCTTGGGGACCAGGCAGCGGTGGGGGGGGGGGGTCCAGTGCTACCTGCAGCTAATGGGCAGAGGCCAGGACAGCCTCTAACAACGAATAATTATCTGTCTCCAAATGTCAATGATGCTGAGTTTGAGATACCTTGGCTTAACTGAATTCTGCCTCTTACCTCTTAAAAATTAACGGCCACAGGGATGGACTCTTCTCATTTTCTGCAGAATAAAGTCCAGACTCCTTAACACAAAATTCTTAAATCTACCACCAAGGAGACTATCCATTCTTATACCACTAATATTTGAAAACCTTGTTCTCCAGTCAAACTGAACCATTTGTGTTTGCTGAGACTTTCTCACTCACCTGTTGTGTGGCTTTGGACAATTTGCTTAACCTTAAATAAGCCTTAAGTTCCTCATCCACAAAATGATGGTAATAGTAATATAACTGGCAGAGTTGTTACTAGGGTTAAATGAGCTCACAAGTATATTGTGACATGTATAATATGTGCTATTAAAATGTAACTATACATTATACTGTATAAACATTTTTATTGTTTTTTCTTATACCTTCTGTTAGGCCATGTGACTTATTTATCTTTGAATTCTCCCATGATATCCTGTACATTAAGTTTGAATGAAATTTCATATTTTCTAGCCTGAGAGTAAGTGGAAGAGATAAAAATTGATTTGATTGCATGGCTTAATGGTCTCATACTGTCCTGCTGAGATAGGGTTTTCTTTTTTTAATTCAAATTGTTTAGTTTCAAAATAAACATTTATTTTTGCCATGAGACCAGAAGAACTGTATGGTACCCAGCGAAGACTATAGAAGGCTCTTGATCAAAAGGGGGAAAATGTAGAACCGACTTTCAGATTTTCATGAAATCCAGATTTTCTGGAGCTATTGAAGCTGGATGAACCCCTAAAACTATTTCCCTGGGAAAATCTTTAAACTTTAAACCAAAAATATCTCCTGAAGTCTTCTTAAAACCAAACAGTGGTTAGCTTAATTGGTAAAGAATGTCTGCCTTGAGCATTGGGATCAAATTGACAATAGCAAAAAGGATAGATAGGAAGCTTAGGGGACAGTTAGTTTGTTAATGGAGGAGGAACAGTTCGGAAAAGGAGGGTGAGAATGGTTGCACAACTTGAATGTAATCAGTGTCACTGAATTGTACATATAGAAATTGTTCAATTGGTGTGTGTTCTGCTGTGTATATTTTAAACAACAAAAAATAAATTATTAAACAAATACATATACATTTATTTTTCTCAGATATACCTGTGCGTTAAAGAATATCCTGAACACTTGACCTTGGTGTTTTAATGTTAAAAGAACACTAACTGTTGACCCAAATATAAAATACCAATTGAATGTGATTTGGTTACCCTCTGATGTCATCATATGGTTTGTTTAGTTTGGGAATTAACCAAAATGTAACCAAATCTGCATTTTTCTGTTATGGCTATAAAATCCAACGACTGAAAATGAGGTCAGTATTGAGCAGCAAAAAATGTTTTCATAATTCACATCAGTATAAAGATTCAGTTTAATGTTGATTAATATATTCTAAATACACTGCTTTTTTTTTTAACTATCTTATCTTGCCCCTTTTCAAATTATATTATTTTGCATAATGTCTACTTAGGTAGCTCCTTGCTCCCTCACCTTTACAGTAATAAAAGGTTTTAGACTGTTTTAAATTTCATTATTTCTACTGTGTAAATTTTAGCAGGTTGCACTGACTATACCTAATTCTGTGTTTATGTATGCTTAATGTTTTAAAATCAGTTATGTAATAATTACTTTTTTGGTTTTTCAGATTTATGGACAAGAAGTTATCATGTAAGTGTTTTTTAAATTATTCAATTGCTTTTTATTTGTGTCTTGACAGTATATAATGTTCAGAACAACTTTACACAAATTTAAAGCACACTGAACCTTTAATTTCTATTCATTAATTAAGTAGGCTTATCAAAATCCTAATTAGATATGGCAGGGAGTTTGGTTTTTTGGTTTGATATTTTATAAGCTTAAAACATTTCAGACTTTTCATTGTTTCATATAAGCCTTCCAGAATTAACAGGATTTTATTTTTTTTCATTTTTTTTGCTTAAAGCAGTAGAATTTTACTCTCTCACAGTTGGGGAGGCTAGAAGTCCAACTTTAAGGTATTGGCAAGGCTATCCCTCTGAATGCTTTAGGGGAAGATCCCTGTCTTCCAGATTCTGGTAGCCCCAAATATTCCTTGGTTAGTGGCAGCACAACTCCAATCTCTGCCTCTAACAGGATTTTCTTGTGTTGTGAAATTTGAAAATTTATCAACCTTTTTTCCTTTAGACAAGCTACATAGGACTTAGACAAGGAACAATTATTCTGTTTCTTGGGAATATGTAGGAAAAGCACATTTTGTTGAACTTTACTAAAAACCTGTTCTGTATAGAATCTGAAGTATATAGAGGTTAAAACCATGGGCTTTAGAGGCAGACAACCTCCACTTTGAATCCCAGCTCTACCACACTGTAGCTGTATAACCTTGAACCAGTTACTTAAAAGCTCTATACTGTAAATCTCATGTAAAGTAAGGCTAATACTACTTTACAGGATTCTTGTAAATGTGGAATGTTTAGCCCAGTGCTTGGTGTATAGTAAGGATAGTGGGTTTTTTAATTTATCACGAATACCTGTGTTTTATGTCACCTAATTTTTAATGAATAGTTGATAGTTAGTGGTCAGTTTTAATAAAACTAACTTTTTCCTTTAAATAGTGAAATTAAATGGTGGCAGACATGTCCAAGGAATATTGCGGGGATTTGATCCCTTTATGAATCTTGTGATAGATGAATGTGTGGAGATGGCAACTAGTGGACAACAGAACAATATTGGAATGGTGGTAAGTAAAGATAGGGGGCTCCCGTTAGAGATTTTGGTTTTTCTTTTGGGATATACATTAACTTCCCTTCTGTCAAACTCTTGGATTACATTGGAGTTAGTTTAAAAAAAAAAAAAATGGAATTAGTAACCCCCAGAAAAAGCAAATTACAGGCAAGATTAGACTCTCCATGTCCCTTGTAGTTTAACATAGGGCAGTCATTCCGCTGCAATAACGTCCCAGTTATCTGTAGGTAAGATCTGAACTATACAGAACCCTCTGAGGTCCTTGGGCTTGAAAGAGCTATTGAAAATCGTTTTTAAGCTTTATTCCATATTAGAGGTCCATAGTCCTTTGTTAGAGCAATAGTTCTTAATCTTAGTTGTATTTTGGAATCAAATTAGTCTGGGATGCAGTATAGAGATTTTTAAAGTTCTGGTGATTCTAATGTGAGGCCAAGATTAACCACTGATTCAGAGCATTTATAATCACATTAGGAGTTTTACAAATAACAAAAGCATGCCTAGGCTCCACCCCAGGCCAGTTTCCTTAAGATTTCATTCCAACCCAGGGCACTCCTAAGAAATAGTAAAAATTATATATTTTATGATTCTACATAATTCAGGAGCCCTTGGGAGAGTTATGCTTCTGCAGCTCTGTTTCCGGTTGTGGCAGTTCATATTTTTATTAGATAGCTGTGCCCTTTCAGTAGACTGAAACCCTGAGCAGCACTTTGCGAAAGCTGGCATTTAAGTACAACAAAAGGAACAATGTCTCATGGAATTCTGGACCTGATGGTTCCCGATTGATTTGGAGAATTGGGCCTCAATACACTACAGCAAAAAAGAGCATTGTAAGGTAGAAGTGTTCACTGACTAGCCTTATTTTCTGTATATTATGTGAGAAAGCAAAGAAGTGTGTTCTACCCTTTTAGGAAAATGTTCATGAAAATAGCAAAGTTTCAGTTTGTTTTTTAATGATACTGAAAAGCCCTCAGATCTGAAAATCTTAGTCATCTTAAAAAAACTTCACCAGTACCCACTCCCAAGGCAAGTGTCAGGCATGGACAACTTTGGGAGGAAGCTAAAAATGAAGGCTAGTTGTTTTTCATGCTTTGATCAATGAGTTGTGATGTTCATCATCTGCTGCAAGAAAGCCAGAAATTTAAAACTCTTGAGAACTAGGTAAACATGTTGGTTAGCTTTTCCACATTTCCATTCTTAACTTATAAGAAGAGTAAGAGTCAGTGGGCTCTTTCAGTCCCCATTGTTATTTTCAGGGCATTGTTCTCTTTGAAAACTTTCTTTGCCACCTTCTCACCATACTCATTGCTGTTATTGTCTGCCAGGCTCTGGGACACTCTCCCCTCTGCCATGTTCCTTTTCAGTCTGTCTGCTGTGGTATAATCCTATACAAGTTCATGTTTTTTATTAACAGATACTGAGCCCTCTATATGCCTACTGCTGTTTTAGGCCATGGGGATACTGTACCAAGCAAAGTTCCTGCCCTCATGGAGTTTACATTTGAGTAGCAGAGACAGTGTTAGTATATATATAAATAAATTAGAATGAAGGGAGGAAAGAACAAGTTACAGATATTTCTACTCTCTGAGCTGCCGGCAACCATAACTACACTTTGAGTCTTATTATTCAGAATGTCTCCATTTCCAGTAAACACTTCAAATTGTTACATTTCCCATCATCCTGCCTCCTATCTTTTCACCTATCCAACTAGCTCCTACTCGGTCTGTGGTTTCCTTGTGATCTACCATCCATCAGGGACTTCTTGTTTTTACCATCACCTAGCCTCCCAGGGAGCCCAGGGGGCACAATGATTAAGCACTCGGCTGCTGACTGAAAGGTTGGCGGTTCAAACCAACCAGCAGCTTTGCAGGAGAAAAGACCTGGTAATATGGTCCTGTAAAGATTACAGTCTAGGAAATACTGTGGGGCAGTTCTACTCTGTCCTGTAGGGTCACTGTGAGTCAAAATTGACTCGATGGCCCACAACAGCAGCTTCCTTCCAGTTTCTCTTATTTGCCTACCCCTCTTGAGCTCAGTTATCAGCCGCTTCACCTGTGTTCTCATACGTGTCCTTGCTTATCTTCATTTCTGGAATGTCTGCTATGTCAGGTACTGTGTTCCTAGGACCTTTTCTTTATAACTTCTCTTCCTGCCTCTAAGCTCTTTCATTCAGACTTATGTGCTGTTGCCCAAACAGTTATGATTGTCATTACCCTAAGTGTGAAGCTTTTGCTGGCTCATTGTTGGTTTCGCGAGCCCTCCAAATAACTATCCTGGCATTTGAGGTTGCCTGAGATTAGATGTCAGCTATCTCTGTTCCTACTTCCCTTCATGTTCAAATTAGACTCCTTATCCCCTTAGTTTTCTTCTTTGTTCTGTCTGGAATTCCCTATCTTCTTGTCAAAATTCTACCCAACTTTCAAGACCCAGATAAAATACCATCTTCATAAAGCCTGCCATAAGCAGCTTCCATCCTGTTTGCTCCCTAAATGGTCTCATACTCCTAAACTTGATACACTCTATTGTACTTGTTTTCCCATTAACTTTTAAGTATCTTAGGGGCAGAGATGGGCATGTCCATTTAGGTTCTGCAGTTCAGAAGGTATAATAACTCACTGGAGATTTGGCATGTGTCTTAGTTACCTGGTGCTGCTGTAACAGAAGTACCACAGTGGGTGGCTTTAACAAACAGAAATTTATTCTCTCACAGTCTGGGGGGGCTAGGGGTCTGGATTCAGGGTGCCAGCTCCCAGGGAAGGCTTTTTCTCTGTCGGTTCTGGGGGAAGGTCTTTATAGTCATCAGTCTTCTGGTCTAGGAGCTTTTCAGCGGAGGGACCCCAAGCCCAAAGGACATGCTTCACTCCCAGCTCTTCTTCTTGGTGGTAGTTAGGTCCCTGTCTCTGCTTGCTTGTTTAATCTCTTGTATCTCAAAAGAGATTGACTCAAAATACAACTTAATCCTCGAGATTGAGTCCTGCCTTATTAACATAACTGCCTCTAATCCTGCCTCATTATCATCATAGAGGTTAGGATTTACAACACATAGGATAATCACATCAGATCACAAAATGGTGGACAGCCACCCAATTCTGGGAATCATGGACTAGCCAAGCTGCCACACATTTTTGGGGGAACACAATTCAATCTATAACAGCATGCCATCTCAAAAAGGTAATTGTTAGCCTTCAGTTTAGAAGATGTCCATCTCACCTAGAGGGCTTGGTGGCTAGCTTCTTGTCATAATTGATTTGACTTGAGTCATATAGTCTTCCTATGGTTTGAAACATAGAACATAATAGCTTATATGTATCTCTACAATGGTACACACTGCCATGTAAGATTAAAAAACCATTAATGATTTGGTGAGAATTCTTTAATCTTCGTTGCTCTCTCTTTTAAGTGAATTGTGTTCTTTTCAAATGTATTTTTCTCTTTCTTAGGTAATACGAGGAAATAGTATCATCATGTTAGAAGCCTTGGAAAGAGTATAATGGCTGTGTTCAGCAGAAAAATCACTTGATTCCACGTGTCCCCTCTCCAAAGGGCCTGTTTTACTATGATGTAAAAATCAGGCTGTGTACATTCTTCATATTAAATTTCTTTTGTTAAATAAACTTTTGTAATAGTAAAAAATGCTTCATCTCAGGTGCTCTGAATACAGAAATAGAGTATGTTATTCTAACGTGAACTTTGCCTGGTGCTTTCAAGTTGACACTGATTTCAGCAGATTTTTTATGCACTGAAATGGAAGAATCTTGTTAAAACTGAAATATAGCAAAGGTTCTTTTTCTCCATCTTTCAACAATGAACAGAGATAAAGAAGCTGCAAACGTTCTGAATGAGTTCTGAAACATTCTCAACTTTGGAAACTTAGAATAGTAACTTTGATCTACTCTGACTTTTTCAAGTACATCTGTATTTCAGCTATGATACAACAGCAGTAAAACACAAGAAGTAATGTAGTTGTTTATTTTGAATGTAATCATTAAGTGGGAATTTTTTTTTTAATACAAGGGTAGAAACAGGATCCATTCCAGAGAAAAACATTACAGTGTCTTGCCATTCATTCTTCATGGAGTAGAGAGGGTAGTGAGAATGCTGCCCATAATATATTCTTCTAGTTCATGAGTTGTATTTTACGGCTCACAAAATGAGATCAGGGATATATTACAGATGGTTATAAACATAACCTTAAGAAATCTCCCAAGCAAATGCTTAGGCCTATTTTTGTAGTCCGCTAAAAAGCCTGTAAATCTTGAATCACTTTGAAACTGTAGAGAATGGCGTATACACAGGTGAGTATGTAAGGTACTTTTAAAACATGGAACACAGTAGCTTATATGTATCTCTAAAATGGTACTTCCTATTTGCAGAAAAGCTGGAGAGTTCAAACTTAATGAGAGTTGGTGTGAAGTCCAATGTATTTCTATTTTTCCATTCTTCTCCAGCACTTCATTTTAATTTAATCTTCATTGACATGATATATTTGCATTTTTTGCAGCCACATAAAGCTGAGTTGTAGAGGTGTGGTTCCTAAACTAGCAACATCACTTAGGAACATTAATTTTGTGTCCCACTCCAAACCTATTGAAAGAAATTCTGGGGGTGGAGTCCAGCGATCTGTTAATTTAACAAGCTCTTCAGGTGATTCTGATGAAGGCTCAAGTAGAACCACTGGAGTAGAGCTAGTTTCATTCAGCCCCTGCATAATTTTTACGAGGCTCTTCTGTAAAAAGATGACTAGATGGTTCTCTTGCAGTAGCAGACTCTGATAGTATTTTTCTCCAATAAAAAAATTCTTTAATACTATAATCGTATTAAAACTCTTTAATAGGTCTGAGGGGATACCTGTTTTGCTCTTTGAAGAAGCAATTTCAGATATCCTGTTGGAAAACGTAATCAGCATAGATTTGATATACCCACATTGGTATCCTAAGTAAAAATATATCCCATTGCCAAACACGTCTACCAGTGACAAAAAGTAAATTATCTTAGCTATTATTAGTATTTGCCAATCTTTTAGTATATACATGTCTTCAGTAAAACCACAAAAGGGAGAAAAGCATGAATACTTCTTAACATACTTGTTAAGAATAAAATTTTTAAAAAGCTCACCCTTTAACAAACCATGGGTTTAACTGCTGCCTGTATGTCAAACAATATATCTTATCTTGGCAGTTTTATCAGCATATTAATATGTACAGCTGTACTAGGGAAGGAGTTGTTTACACTATGCATCAATGTTCTCTTAGACCATTTTGCTAAAATAGCTACTGCCATAACCTGGTGATGGACTTCTGCTAACTTGATTGCATTGAGTGTTATAATTTACAGGCTTTTGCTTCTTCTGTGCTACTGGTGGCTATAAGGACAGTCATTCCTGATCTTTGTATCGCAGATGTAGAACTGGTTCTCCAGTTTGACTGCATATTAGAATCACTTGGGAAGATTTAAATCATCTTCAGGTGATTTCAGGGTGCAGCCAAGGTTGAGGACTACTGCCTTAAAGTGAGATTTCAACAACCAGTTTCTCACCTGGAATGCTGCAGTAGCTTTAGAAACACACTTTGAACATTCTGGATTTGGTGAAGTTTGGTGTTATTCTCACTATCCCACCCTGGAGTTACCTAAGTTGCCTCTGCTGTTAGAGACTGTCAATGCTACTTAACTATTAAGACTACTAGAGCTTTCACTAAAGAAATTTTCTTTGCAAAAAGGATCTGCTTTGATAACGGATTGGATTTCTTAGGACATTTAAGGTACTAAAAACCTTTTGTAGACATCAATCCCTTCTTGTACAGGAAGTATTTTACCTATAGTTGACCCAGTAGTTTAGGTCCACTGTCAGATTTTTACATCGATTATTCTCAACCCTGGCTACACACTAGAACCACCTTAGAACTTTAAAAAACTACAGTGCAAAGGCCCTGTCCCCAGTCCATGAAGACAGAATCTCTGGTGGTGGGCATCAGTATTTTTTAAAGTTCAGGTGAGGGTTTGATAACAGAATGCCAATTTCTTAAGTCAGTAACCCATATTTGCTTTTCATTTTACTTGAGACTTGTATGACATCTTAAGGTTGTACTACTAAGACTTCTAAATTTCACCCCTAATAAAACTGGGACAGAAGAAATCAAAAGGTAACATTCTGAAGGTCAAAGCTTTGGGCATGGGCACATCTACTGTGAAAAAAGGGTATAAATTACTAATGCCAAGCAAAGACACCAGCTCTCATAGTAGTTTTGATCTGACTGAAAATCATGCCCGGCTGTGAAGCTCAAATGACCCAGTCCTCAACAAGGAGGTTAAGTCTGGCCACTAGTTCTTCCTCAGGTGTTAGTTTAAAATGCTCTAAGATCTTACTCAAAATCCAGGGCCCTACCCCTAGGCCCTGGATTGACACAGTGGCTACAACAGTGGGCTCAAACATAGCAATGATTGTGATGGCACAGGACTAGGCAATGTTTAGTCTTTCATTTTTTTATACATGGGGTTGCTATGAGTCAGAACCGACCCCATGGACCCAGCAACAACAACAACACCCCTAGGCCAACTAAATCAGAATCACCAAGGGAGGAGCTTGAGAAGCTGTATGTTTAACAAACACCAAATGATTCTTATGATCAGAGAAATTTGAAAAACACTGCTAATGGAGACTGAAAGAGGAGTGGGGAAATTCTGGAGATGGCATAAGTGCAAGTTATGCCTTCCTGCTTAATTAGAACTTTGTATTTTCTCATGATCCACAGCGATTACTTTTGTTAAACAATGATAGTGGCAAAATATCTGACTCAAAATCATCTCTGCTCAGATTTTGTTCTTTTTTGCTAATGATAACCCATTTGGAACTAGAAAGGGAAAAAAGGATGTTACTCATAGTTCAGTCTTAAGTTTTTCATATAAGCCCTCCTGGTCAATCATGTCTGTGTGCCCATTCCAGCGGTGATAGGCCAGGAGAGCGGCATTGTGGGCTGCAATGGCACTCATTTCCATGGCACTTGCTGCATACTCCATGCCATTGAGGTAATAAAGTCGATCATGGAGTATGATGGAGGGGCATTTCTCTGTAGGCTTATACTGAGGATATGCAAGCCATGGATTTTTCACAGCATAATCATAAGACAAAAAGAGCTTTAAAATTTGCTCTTTAGTAAGAGTGTCTTGGGAAAAGATCTTCCAAACATGTGTCCCATCTGTGGATGGTTCAGGATTATCCTTTTCTCTTACAGGGGACACAATCCCAATGCTGTTAATGAACAGATCTGGATTATCAGTGGTTAAGACTGCAGTAAGATCAAATTTATCTAAGGCTCTAGAGGTAAAGATAGTTGTATTCAATTGTCCTTTAACTAAAGTTGTCACTATATGTTGGTAGTACTGATGGAATTCCTTGATTGGAGGATCAAAGTTGAGAAAAGTTATATTGGACATTTTTCGATTCAGTGGAGTAGCCACCAAGACAATGTCATAGAAGTCTGAATGGGTCTCTGATCCAGTTTGGTAGACCACTTCATACATCTTGGTGGGATTTCCTAGAGGGAATAAGGAAGCATATACTTCTTTAGTGTTTCTAATATACTATATTTTATACCTTCTAAAAGTAATTCTATACCTTCAGAATACCAAACAAAAAAAAAAAAACTCATTGCCGTTGAGTTGATTCCGACTCATAGCGACCCTACAGGACAGAGCAGAACTGCCCCACAGGGTTTCCAAGGAACAGCTGATGGATTTGAACTGCTGACCTTTTGGTTAGCAGCGAAGCTCTTAACCACTGTGCCACCAGAGCTCTACCTTCAGAATAGTTTCTTCATAATTCTAAGGGATTAAAGGAGTTTTAACCCTTAAAATAACTGTTCCTTGTATTTGTATTACATTGAGGCCAATTTCCTGCTCTAGATGAAAATAATGCTTCATTTACAAGTATAAAATAGGGAATTTTTACTTACGAGGATGAGATTATTTTTTAAATCCAAAGAGTCATGCTACTGTACTTGAGCACATTTGGGAATGTTTCTACATGATACAACATATGTAACTTAAAGTTTCATCATTTGGAACAGTGAGAGATGGCAGAAGATAGAGTTTCTCCCTGAGAAAACATTTTCTGCAGGGGAAATCAGGAACACTAAAAGAGAAGTTCAAGCTTACCTGTCTGCTTGGTCCTTGTTTTCTCCTCTATGTACATTACTGAGCCAGATATAAGATTGCCTTTGGAAGCCTGAAGGAGCCCTGAGCAAACAAGTTTATTGCCACCTTCTACTGACCAAAGGCCAGATTCAGCACCAGCCAATGACACTGCCCCTGTCAGTGGGAGAAAAAAATGTGTTTTAATTCTGACTTTGTATGAAGCCTTCTACCCTTTCTCCCTTCCTAATTTGTTGAGTTCTGGCCAAATGCAAGTTGGTCTGTTTAGCATTTTAATGAAAATTAACATCCACTTAGGACCAGCTACATAATTTAAGGGGTCCAGGGCAAAATGAAAATGAATTATTGTTCAATAATTAAGAATTTAAAGATGGTTGGCAGCAGGCCATTAAACCAAGCAGGGGGCCCTTCTTAGCAGAGGACCCTGTTTGACTGCACAGGTGGCACACCCATGAAGCCAGCCCTGCATCCAATATTGAAACAAAATTGCTCTGAGTCACACAAAGGGGTGCAAAATCACTCTGGTACAACAAGACACGTTACCGATACAGTGACTAGTGACTGACTAAATCATCATATTGACTAAATCATGTATTACCACTCAATGATCTTAAGATGTTGGGTCATCCATGGACCTTTACCCAAAGACAATCTGAGTAAGTTTCACAATATATTTACATTAACTGTTTTGGGGCAGCCAAACAGGATACCTCAATACTATCCTCTAAATAAATGGTTCTTAACCTTTGGAGGGTCACAGACCTCTTTGAGAATCTAATGCATTGTTTCTCAACCTTGGTACTACTGACATTTGCCAGTAGCACCCTCCTATCACAGTGTTTCAACCAAAGATGTGTTTTAATCATGACTTTGTAGGAGGCCCTCTACCTCACTCTCCCTTCCTAAGTGAGTTTTGTTCCAGGAGTTCTGCTCCAAATGTCTCCAGACATTGCCAATGCCCCGCCCCCACACTCCAGGTTAAGAACCACTGAACTAATGAAAGTTAACGACCCTGTTCCCATAAAAATCCATATCTACGTATATACAATGTTGCCAACAATTTCTGAGGTTTCAGAGAGAAAGGTAGCCTTGTCCAACCCATGGCCTGAAGTCAGGAGCTACTCTACATTGGGTAAGCCCCTTTGTGAACTCATGTCCCTTACTGATCCCTGGCTTACCCACAAAGCTACCGATGCTCATGTTTTGGCCATAATTAACCCTCATGACAGGAGTAACAATTTCATTGAGGAATTTCTCAGAGAAGCCTGCTTTCTCCAGGGTTTCAAGAAGTGTTCGGTTCAGCATTCCAAGTAAGTCGTCCCCTCCTAGAGCATGCAGTAACTTCTCTACACTACTGAAGGCATAGTCATGAGATTGGTAGCGGTAGATCCTTTAAAAAGAAGAGAAATGGCCATTAAACACCAAACAAGATGGAAGAGGAGGGCAGGTAAAGAAGGGAAACAGGGTTGTAAGAACCAAACTGACTTCCATGTTTCCTTCTGATGAGTTTCACCTACCATGTGAGATAATAGCTTAGTTATCATCTTGAGTAAAGCCTTTCCCAGGTCTCCCAGGAGCTCTTGGTCTTCTCCCTCCTCTTCTTTTAGTAGTCCACTGTCCTTTGTATGCACACTTCCTTTGCTGCATTAATATGATCACTGGGAACCCCTTTAAAGCAGTGGGTATGTCTTGTCCTCATTCAACTTTGTATCTTCCAGCAGCACTTAGACATGTCTAAAACCAAATTTCATCTTTCCACCAGCCCCAATCCTCTCCGCCTACCCCCTATCCCAACCAAAAACAACACGCCACTCCTAACATCCTCCATGTCATCTTCATTTCTCCACTCTGCTTCCTCCACTCATCAGTAGGAAACCTCAACAATCTTCCTAACAGCTCTCTGTTACCCTGTTGTCATTTCCCTGATCTTAGTCAGGATTAACATTCAAATATTAAAATGAATAACTGATCAACCTGCTTCTAGTTTCCTTTCCTTTGAAACATGTGAATCTCCCCAAAACTCTTAAATATGTCTTTTACTTTGTCATTCACTTATCCAAAAAACTTCTTGCTTACTGTTGCTTACTAAATAAAGTCCAGATCATTTAGCCTGACTTTTAAAGAAGGAATCATGGAATTTTTGAGCCAAACTCATCAAGGCTAACTCCTCTGCTCTAACTGCATATTAGACAACAAAGCAGAAGAGGTCAAAGAACTTGTTTAAAAGCCATGAGGAAAATAGAAGGCTAAAGCCTAACTTGCCCCCTCTGCCCTCCACCACACACCCACACTCAAACCCTCCACTTGAGCACACCTGATCCATTCACTGGTTTCTAAATATGCAGTGCATATTGTCTCCTCACCACTGCACAAGCTCTTCCCTCAACTGGTATATTCTTTCCATTCCTAGCCACAGAACACCTATCATTCCTTACAGAGAGCATTAAGTCCCACCTCCTCTGGAAAACCTTGCTCAACTTCCCAATCCACAGTAACATCATCAGCTTCAAAAGTCTCATAAAACTTAGCACTCATGCCACTTGTTCAGCACTTAAATACTAATTTATATTATTTATTTCTTATAAAATATCATCTGACATTTCTCCAGCACTTTATGGATTTAAAGAATGTTCACATAAATTGTCTCATGCAGTAATTCAATACATAATTCTTCAGGTTGCAGGTGGTACAAAGATGAGAAAAACATGGTTCCTTTCCCTTTAGGAGCTTACACTCAGGGACAGGTAATATGGCACATGTAAAAATAAGTATATAAAACAAAGGAAGAAGTAAGTGTCATAAGAAAGATAAGGCTACAGTGCTATCAGTGATCATGGGAGGAGAGTTTTACATCAAGTTTCTTCTCTCAAAACAAATTTATTACAGAGCAAGAAACAATGCCATATACATTCTAATATTGCCTACCGTCTGACAGCATAGTATACAATATGTTGAATCAAGTTCTGTAGGGAAATTGATTAGATATCAGCACCAACATTGAGAACGTAAAATAACTCCTTCCAACCACAGCATTTGGCTTACAGGCCTCAGGAGATTGGGAATAGGGCAAAAACATCGAATTCCTTAGAAAAACAATACACTGGACATCTCATGAAAGGAAGACTGATCTAGCAGGAGAAAGGTGGCGTGCAGAACTCCAATTCTAGTAAGAAGACCAGACTTAATGGTCTGAATGAGACTGGAGGAACCCCAGAAAGCATGGCCCCCGGATTCTCTCTCAGCCCAGAACTAAAATAATTTCCGAGGCCAACTCTTCAGACAGGGATTGGACTGGACTGTGGGACATAAACTGATACTCGTGAGGAGTGTGCCTCTTGACTCAAGTAGATACAAGAGACTAAATGGGCAGTTTCTGTCCGGAGGTGAGATGGGAAGGCAGAGAGGGCTAGGAGCTCGTTGAATGGACATGGGGAATCAGGGGTGGAAAGGAGGAGTGTGCTGTCACAGTATGGGGAGAGCAATTAAGGTCACATAACAATGTATGTATAAATTTTTGTATGGGAGACTAACTTGAAATGTAAACTTCATTTAAACTATAACAATAAACAAAGAAAGTAAAACTGCTCTTGGCCCCTGGACACCCTTTTGGCTCAGTAATGAAGTCACTCCTGAGGTTTACCCCTCAGCCAAATATTAAACAGGTGCATAAAACAAAACGAGACTAAAGGGGCACACCAGCCCAGGGGCAAGGACTATAAGGCAAGAGGGAAGAGGTAAGCTAGTAATAGGGAACCCAAGGTCGAGAAGGGAGAGTGTGGATGTGTTGTGGGGTTGGTAACCAATGTCACAAAACATTGTGTGTACTAATTGTTTAATGAGAAGCTAGTTTGTTCTGTAAATCTTCATCTAAAGCACAAATTAAAAAAAAAAAAGGAAGGCTGATCTATTGCTAATGATGAACATGACAAAATACTATCCTGTTAACTAACTTACATATGATACCATAAAAAACTTATTTCCCACCTCATGGGGAGGTGCCCACCAACCACGCTCAAGCAAGCCTCCTAAGTAAAGGCTTCCTAAAAGGTAAGATGAGACAATATATACCATATAAAGACTGAGCATTAAAATAATTTCACAATACTAGTTGCATTAGAATATTACTAAAAAGTCAAACGTGAGTAATTAGTAGTTTCTGCTATTCATATTGCTTAGATAGTATTTTTCATTTTAAGGTACATTTGTATAACCCTTAACAGTTACCAAAGTATTCTATTTATTCATTCATTTATGCATTCAAAAGCACTGTTCTAGGTGCTGGGGATACAGAGGTCAACACAACAGATAAGAAAAAAAAATCCCTGCCCTCATGGAGCTTATGTTTTAGTCAGGGGAAAGAAGTAATAAAAACGAATGCAAGTAAAGTATATAACAGATAAGAGAATGATAAGTACTAAGGAGGAAAATAAATCAGAGAAGGAAGACTGGGAATGCATGGGGTTGGCAGGGCTGCAATTCTAAATAGAATGGTACAAAAAAAAATAGAGTGGTGAGGGAAGACCTCATCTGAGCAAAGACCTGAAGGAGGGGAGAACGCAAGCATGCAGATATCTGAGGGAGGAAATATTTCAAGTACAGGTAAAAGCAGTACAAATGCCATACAATAGAAGCATGCCTGGTGTGGGGTAAAGAATTTAACTTTACCCAAAGTAATTTGGTCTTTGTCCTTGGTTCCTGAGAGATACTCTAAACTTTTGAAATTTCCTGGGTAACTGAGGTGCTTTTGTTATCTAAGGCCTCTAGACCACACCTAAGGGTTTGTGCTAAGGAGACTGTGCTGACCAAGCCAGAAAGACCACCACATGGCCTGGTATCAACTGAACTGGGGGTGGGAGGCATGATTCAATCAATTATGCCTATGCAATGAGGCCTCAATAAACGATCTGGACACAGAAGCCCCATGGACTTCCTGGTTGGTGGAAAACATCTGCTCTAGGACACAGAAGCTCCACACTGGAAACCCTTCCAGACCTCACCCTATGCATTTCTTTATGCTTACCCTGTGCGGTGGATTAATTACTTTTGTGTGTAGCCTTTTTAGCCACGGTGTAACTCCCACCCAGGTGACTGCGTGATACAGTAATTGTGGCCTACCAACGGGATTGGTCAGTTTTGCCTTAAAAGAGAGCCAATTCCAGAGCAGAGAGGAGGAGTCCATCACCAAGAAAGGAAGACTCAGCAGCAGAGACCCGGCAGCAGGAAATGGCACGGTGGACCCAAGGAGAGAGAAAGCTGAGTACCTCTGGGCAGAGACTGAGGGCCAGGGATAGGTGTGCCTGCGAGCACAGCTGGGGATAGGCTGTCCTGATGAAAGAACTGTATCCTGAGTGTTCTTGAGCCTGAACTATAACTGTTACTTCCCTTAAAATAAACCCCATAATCATGAGTATGGTCTTTGAGTTCAGTGTGGCCACTGCAATGAATTATCAAACGCAGCAGAGAAGTAGAGAGTGCTATGTGAGGGACAGTTGGTGTCAGAATTGATAGAGGTGGTGGAGAGAGGAGGCATGTGTCTGACCTCCACTTTACAGGAATCAGTCTTGGACTGTTGATCTTGGTTCTCCTTCCCTCTTGTGGGGTTGGAGGAGGTCAGACATTGCCCCCAAGCCATTTTTACATCCTGCTTCATATCCGTTATAATAAAACTGTAATCATAAGTATAGAGCTTTCCACGAGTCATTAAGCTGTTCTAGCAAATTATTTGGAACCAAAGGAATAGTGGAAGCCAGCAGGTCAGCAGTAAGGGGGGCCTAGGGACTCCTAAGCTTGCAGCTGCTATCCTGAGGGAATAGATGGAACCACTGAATTTGTAACCAGCAGGCCAGAATTGTATCATGAGACCACCCAAATTTTGGCAGGCATCTGAAGTCTCGGGCCTATTTGGCGGTTTGGAAGATTATGTCCTTTTAACTTGTGAGCTCTGACTTAGCTCCAGGTGGCTGGGGTTAGAGAAGGAAGTGCTGCATGAGCAGCTGGTGTCAGAATTGAACAGAAAAGTGAAAAGTGGGGATTTGTGATATCCTCATACCAAAAACCAAACCCATTGCTGTCGAGTCAATTCTGACTCATACAACTCTACAGGACAGAGCAGAATTGCCCCACAGGGTTGCCAAGGCTGTAATCTTTACAGAAGCAGACTGCCACGTATTTCTCCTGCGGACCGGCTGGTGGGTTTGAACCACCAACCTTTCAGTTAGCAGCCGAGCCCTTAACAACTGTACCACCAGGGCTCCTTAATATCTTCATAATTGGTGTCAAAAAAAAAAGTGGACTTTTCATTTATCCACATACCTGGCATGTTCAAGGAACAGTGAGTCCAATGTACCTGAGGCGAAGAGATCCAGAAGAGTAGGGGGAGGTACAGTCATA